CCTCCAAAGTTACAGCTCTCAGGAGCTCTGGATTAGAGTTACACAATGCTCCCGCAAGCACCCCTCCAGCACTGAAAGCAGTCAGGGTTGTTAGACTTGGCTGAGAAAAGCCTTGGCCATGAAGCGTCTTAATGCAAGCCTCTAAGTCAGCAAGACCATTGAGTTTTTTAGTTAGACGGCCATCAGCGTGCCACTGGAGGCCTAACTCACCACCACCCCTGAAATAAAAGGGCAAAAAAGTTTTACTGGAAAAACTGTTACTGATGTAGGCTGGAGTCAGCAAACTATACCTAGAGGTCTGTTTTCATATGGCCCTGAAGCTAAGAATGGTTTTTACTTTTTAAAGGTTGAGAGGAAACAAGAAGAAATATGTAACAAAGATTGCATGTGGCCTGCAAGGCCTGAAATGTTTAGTTCTTTAGAGAAAAAGTTTGCCAGAAATCAAAGCTTTTCGACAATAAAAAACTGATGCAACAAGTTAGTTTTGAGTGCCTGCCTATTATTCAGCAGGGACTGTACTAATTGCAGACCTTAAAAATATAAACAAGCGAAAATCCCCTGCCCTGGAGATCTTAATTTTGTGGGGAAAGAAAATAAAGAGTTACTAAGCAATGTGGTCACTGCCATAATACAAGTGTATTAAAGATATTACCGTAGAGGAAAGAACGTCCGTATGTCAGGTTAGGGGCATGTACATAGTCAGGAACACAAATGCTTAAGGAGATGATGCCTAAGCTGAGATGTGAAGAAAAATTTGAGCTTCCAGAAGGACAAAGAAAGGGAAGGCATCCAGACATAGATAGGACACAGCAGGTGTAAGGGCAAGGAGGTAACAAAACATGTCACTTGAAAGGACGTGATGATAAATGATTCCAGGGATCAGCCATATCCTTAGGCGTACTATACTGAGGAATGTGGAGTTTGCCCTGGAGATGGGGAGGTGGAAAACAATTTTAAGCAGAAATATAACATTTGTGTCTTGAAAACAACTAAGATAAAATGCAAGTTTTTCTGCAGGGGTGTTCAAGGGAAGGGATAAAAATCTTAAACATTTTTATCTACTTATTTATTTTTTTAGAGATGGACTCTTGCTATGTTGCCCAGGTGGGTCTTGAACTCTTGAGCTCAAGTGATCCTCCTGCCTCAGCAGCCTGAGTAGCCAGGCACTTCTTAGCACCATGCGTGACTTTAAAATGGTAGTTAGATGGAATAAAGGAGTTCAGTTTGGGAAGCTGCTTAAACCTAAATTCAGGAGAATTAAATGGAAATAATAATGTTACTAAGTAAGTACAGAGTTTGGTACATTTGTTAGAAATCTCTAAAGATCTACTTTGTTCTTTTTTTGGATCAACTAATCCAGCGGTTCTTAACCTGTGGGTCGGAACCCCTTTTTAACAATGACAA